CAACGCCATCTCACTCGCCTCCAGCCGAATTCGATCGCGCGGTACGCGACCGCTCGCGTAACCTTCTTTCTAACCCAAATCTATTTTGCTGTCGCGGCTTCCGTTTCGCACGAGACGGTCCGGACGACGGTCCAGAGTGGTGACGACCCTTTGGTCACACGATGTATACTCGTTTTTCAAATCACATGCATATTTGATCGGTAATGAAGTGTTTAAATAAGAAGTGAGAAAAAGACAATGCTCGACATTTTTTTTGTTGATAAACTGTACAAGTTAAATTTGAATTTACGCACCAGGCATTAGGCTGACAGTTTAACTCTCGTCATTTAAAGTAAAATTCCCTAAATTTGCTTATTTAATTCTTAGATTTTACAGTCTGTACAAATAATCTACAAGAGCGAATAGAAAGAAATAGTGTATATTAAATACGTAATTAGTGTAAAATATCTACCTAAAATGCATTTACTAGAAAAAAAATTATTTAATTGCGCGGTGATTTATTTTTCCCAAATAAGTTTTGAAAGAATACCAAGAGTAACAAGTACTTTAACTACAATTTTCTGTCACGCAATTCAATTTTCTGTCACGCAATACTGTATTACATTTGGCAGCCAAACACTTTGCCCATGGATAGTGAAATAAACAATTATATTTTAAAAATTATAAAAACAATGCTTATAATTTCTATTTTAATATTTATATTTAAACGATAATCGAGTCACTTCGATACCAAAAATAATTACAACATCGAAAAATTATTTTGTAATTTCTATTGTAAAAAAAAAATAATCCTTTAATAAGTTCCAGGAAAGTAATTTTCACTTAAAAGTCAATTTTTTTATAAGCGGGAAATAAATATTTATAAATTTTGTCACGAGAGTAAATGCAAAGCGACTTACTAGTTGCTCATAGAAACAGAGAAAGCTCCGAAAATGCAGTACGAAAGGTTTCTTCATTTCTTCTTACTCTTGACGATATTCTTGTGTTACGCGAAATGCAACAATACAAATCCAGAGGACGGCGAAGATGATTTCCGACAAACGTCGATGATGTTAGAAAATGCGGAGATGAGAATCAAAACGGCTTTCAAGTCTATCTTAAAGCCAAGTCTTCCTTACCTGATGAGAATTTTCGAAGAAGTGAACGTATCTTCACCTTGCGCGAAATCTTCCATTTTCTTGCTGAAAGACTTGATGAAACTGAAAGAATGGCCTCTTAGAAGTAAGTAATCTTCAAGGTTTTCAATTATTACAACTTAAGCTAGGATTTATATACTCAGGTATTCCTGGTATAGCGCGAAAGAAGGTTCCTTAAAAATCGAGTTCGAAAGTCTGAGAACGTGGAGTTTAACAAAAATTTCGTACAAATTTTACACGATATCAATACTTTATTTTATATGACGGAAAAGAAAACAGTCATTCAATTCTATTTTTTCTGCGATGACACTAGTGAAAGGAAAGTTGAAAAGTGGTCGCGTTAATTATTTTATATCCTGGCTGTTATAATATAATGCATAACTGCGCCATGTTATAACCAAGGATAGCATTTCAGAGTCTAAAAGATCAACGAATGGTGCAAAGAAGTGATTTTAAGAATCTATCTTGAGTAAAACTGTACATTTAATTACATAAAAAACGTATTAATTCTTATTTGAAAATTAAAATATGTAAGCTAAATGCAATTAAATACAATATACATCATTTATTAGATTTTATTTTATTGTTTAATTACTTACTTAAATATAGGCTATACCAGGTTGAAAGTGGTTCATTTAATTAAATTAAACAAACAAAATTTTTTATAATATATTACTGTATTTAATAAATTAAAGATGTAAAATATTCTTTAACTACATTTTAAATAATTGTGACCGAAGTGTCGTCACACTATCGGAGATGCCCACGTCAGGACTAACATCACCGCGGTACGTGCTCGAATTCGAAATGTAGGACGTCCGAGAGACAGCGTGTCCGAAAGAAGTGCACACTACAATTGAATTATAAGAGAATAATAGCCGTTTATTTATTTACATTTAGATATAGATATCCATAGGATAACGCATAGCATTTACGTTATAGCTTGTATATAGCGTAACAAAATGGATAAGTCTATGCCTAGCGTAAGATATTTAATAGATTTTCTACATGGCGGAAAAAGTACTATCGAAATTGGACCCTAGCCATGACATAGAGAGAGAGACAGAGACAAAGTTTACATTTCTTCACACGATGATAAATACATTGATAAATTAGTAGTAGTGGTTTGAGTAGCACCGAACACATAATTAATTTTTCAGATAAAAACTTTGTTGAGTAAATTAAATTAAGATTACAAATAAATTTGTCGAATAATAGTTTTTTTTTCAATAGTACAATTAATTTTCATGTTGGATATTTCTCTTAATATTCGGGTACATGACAATTTGAAATAATATAACATCGAAATTATTTTGAAAAGGTAAAAAAGTATTATCCAATCGTAGATAGCCAGAAGTTCTATGTCTAAATAATTGTAGTGCCAGTTTAAAAATTTTTTTTCTCCATTCGTCCACCTTTAAATAAAAACAATTCATTATACGTTGAAAAATAATTTAATAAGTTTTGAAAATTATTACAGTCAATCTAACCAATTATATCCAATAGTTTTTCGTCTATAAAATTTAATCCACGAATGTTTTTGCTAGTCAAATCAACTTGTCATTGATCTTTCGCCAATAATTGATACTTTTTAACAGAATGTAGGCTATATAAATGTCTATTACAGCTTTTATAGGATCGTGTAATGCTTTTATAACCAACTGTCGATAACTCGAAATGCTTCAAAATTTATTAACATCGAATTCTGTAATTTATACAGTAATACCCCGACTTACGCGAACCCGGAGTTACGCGATTTTCAAATCTCGTCGATTCGTCTTTTGTTTGAGCGCCACGCAACCCTCGATTACTCACTCCCCCCACACTATTGTTCAGCTTACATGTTCGGATGTGTCGCGCGGAATCCACACATAGCTACAATTTATTTTCTGTTATTTGTTTCTGTGTTCGTTATATCTACGGAGACTCGAGAGACTTTACTACGTCATCCAAACTAAGTAGAACTGATTCTTCCGCATCAAAAAAGAAAAAAAAAAACTTTATCTTTGGAATGTAAAGTTAACATTGGGTACGTTCGTAAAGTCGAACGAGTTAAACGAGAATAACGTCATCGTTATTCCTATTTCGTTAGACTTTTCGAACGATTCGTTACTAACGCGTTAAACTCGTTTGACTTTACGAACATACCAATTATTAATTAAAGACTTCGATACAAAAATAAAAATTTGTGAATCAGCAAAAAAGTTTGATATACACGAATTGTCGGTCAGAACAATTATAAAAGGCAAAGAAAAATTCTCGAAGCTGTGAAAAATGCTCAATGTTTAAATTCGAGCATCATTCGTAAACGTCACGGTCTTATCGCTGAGATGGAAACGATGTTAAAATTATGGAGTAATAATCAAGTAAATGTGAAAAATTGTAAAATAATATAGGCCTAATTTGTTATATACATGTATATTATCTAAGATTTCATTAAACATTTTTTTCTAAATTATTGTTTTCTTTAGTCTCCAATTCCAATTAAAAATTATTTGTATGTATTTATATGCGAAATTATACCCCGACTTATGCGAACTCGACTTACGCGGTTACCGCTCGGTCCCACCTATCGCCTAAGTTCGGAGTATTACTGTACAAGTAAAAATTAGGATTTGTATTATTGTATATTTAATAATAAAAGAAAAAAAATTTCAGACATGAATATTTTATACTGACCACATAGAATATTCATTAATATACCAAATGTCTTGTATTGCTATTTTTGATATTATATCACGAATATATTCAATTATTTCATCCATTTTATCAGATTGTTAATGAGAAATCAAAAAAAAAATTATTATTTTGAAATTTATATTGTAATTGAATCGAAATAAAACTTATGTTTTTAAAATGAAAATTTAGTTACTAAAATGAAATGAAAGTAAAAGATATAAGAATTTAACTCAAGTCGTACAATAGCAATAATAATAATAATACCAAAAAAAATTTTAATTAAATAAACTTTAAGAATAAATTTTACAACAATAAGGTAATTTATTTTAAAAAACAACTTATTTAATTAACTAAGTTTAAAACATAATAAAATTCTAACACTATCTGTATTACTTATATATTATAATGTGTACAATATGATTAATTTTAAAAATATTTTAAAAATTAATATGATTACATTTATTTATTTAATATTAACTTATTATCGATAATATGATCATTTTAATTAATTTCTTTATATTTAAATTTATATTACTGAGTATTTATTTAAATATAATTAAGAAAGAGATTGAAGAATATTAAACTCGAAGAAAACGAACCTCTGTAATTTCTCAAAATTTTGATTTTCATATGATAGACATAAACTGTATGTAAGAGGGAGAAGGAGACTTTTTACGGTCAACGACCGAGACGGTCTCCGCGAAATAATTGTTAAAATATCAATAAAAGAATTCCCTACCATTTGTTTAACGGTAATTCGATAGACGATAGTGTCAACAAGACGGGAATAGGCAATGTTTCTCATCCTCTCTTCGGTTCCACGTGACACGTGGCTACAGCAATAAATCGCCTTGTTCGTAAAGGGCGACATTTGATATAAAGATGATAGAGATTGTTAACCAGTTTCCAGAACTTATTGTCAGCTGGATGCCTATTTATGGGTGAGAGCTGTCAAATCTATAGAAATTTATATCATAAAATCGCATCTTCGAAATACCAAGATCTATAAATTAAACAAACTTCTCAGTGGCCAGCAATCCGTACTAGCTAGATCCAGACATCAACACCCTAACAGGTATGCGTATAAATAATTAATAGTATGACAGTTCTCACCCCTTCGAATTTGGTGTAAAGAGAGCTCACGACCCTTTTAGCGGGCGGCTTAAAGACATCAGAGAACGACTGGTCAACTTCCATCCTGCACCTGACCGCTGACGACGAACGATTAGAGAAGTAATTCATAACTCAGTAAGTAGAACTCTCTCTTTCCTCTCAGATGGATTAGGACTAGTTAAAGATAAATACAAACAGGGATAACAGCCTTTCCTTTGTCGGAAGTACGTACGGCGTAAGCCCGCTAATCGCCTTCTACAACTTCCGTTTAGAAGTATTATTATTATTTGTAACCGTTAGAATAGTATTTTTTATTAAATCTGTATATTTTAAATATGTGTGTTTACTCGTACATGGCCATCACCTTATCGACTTAACCGCGACCTCCAACTCGATTTCTCTTATTTGTTTTGCCCTTCTAAATCGTCATGCACTGACTCTGTGAGCTGGACTCACATTCCCGTTGTCGGAAACCGGTTTAAGCTCCGACACTTAAACACCGATTCTCACACAAATGTTAGATTTGTTTTTCGAAAAAGACGGACTGATCAGTATTTTATAAAATAAGACACCGATAAGTTTTAGTATGAATCTCTAACCAGTGTTTTAAACGCAGTATTTATACTATTGCCCGACATCAAAATAACATGATATTTAAAAATGAATGGAAAATACATATATAAATAATTAAATATGTGTTTTAATTGTTTTAATTTACATGGATATTAGAAAAATTTATATTTAAAAAGTTCTTATTGCAAATTAGCACAACTTAATTTTATAATATAGAGATGATTACTGATTTCGAGGCAATTACGCTTAACGATGAAAATCTCTGTTTAACACACCGTACAGGGACACCGGGTTTGTAGAAAAACATTCTAAAGAGTTCGTTAAAATTGATTTTTATAATGAGTCTATTATTCTTTAAATTTTAACAGTTAGAGATAATAAAAAAATCGGCGAGATTCGACAATTATTTGCACGGTTTATATGAATTATGTGATAAACAAAATTTTAAGAAATTACAGAGATTCGTTTTCTTGGAGTTTAATATACTTAAATTTTTTTTATTATATTTAAATAAATAATTAGTAATATAAATTTAAATATATAAAAATTAATTAAAATGATAATATTATTGATAGGAAGTTAATATTAAATAAATAAATGTAATCATATAAATTTTTAAAATATATTTAAAATTAATCTAATTACTGAATAAAATCTAGTATCCTAAAATAATAAAATAACACGCAAAGAGAAATACGGATTAAAAAAACGCATTTTACAGAAGCATGAAAGGTAGGCCACGTGATTCACAACGGTGAGTCACACTCACGAAACGCAACTAATGTATCTCCCAAAGCGTGTGTTTCATATATTCGTTTTATATACACTACTTTAATTACTTCACTACATAGTGGCCCCCATTTTGATAGCTTTATTATGAGATAATTAGGCCTAATTGCTTATTATGCGCATCGTTTGCAGGTAGGTTAAACCTTATCATTTCCACACGGCTCAGATCTGGCAATAATAAACCAATCACCTTTTCTCAATAATTTTTAACGTTGGTTACAAGTGAATATTAAACTTAGTTTTCTGTGAACTAATGTTATTTAGTAAGTTTATTTTCACATTTAGTGTACTTTCTGTTTTAATTCAACTTTTAGTGAAAACTGTACGAAAACAGAAGAGGCAGTGAGAGTGACGTCACACTGGATAAATATTTTACGACGTTTTTAAAATTTTCTTTTCTATTGTTTTACTATACCGGCCGTTATGTGTACAAAAAGGGAGAGTTTTGTAATCCTGTCAAATTTGGCTTTCTTTCTTTCTTTATTTTTCAAATCTTTTTGTTTTGAGTTCTCCTGAATGCAAAAGTCATGTACGTAAGTTTGTTGACTTTTAGGGGAGGATCGTTAATCTAGGATCGTTCACGTGTTGGTGTGACAGGGGAGACACAAATGACAAGTATCTTACAAAAATTCGTTTCATTTAACAGGAAATAACTTACACGATGCACAAAGTTTTTTAAAAAATTGAATTGTCGAAAGTTCTAAAGTGTCGAAGATGTTTTTCTACCGTCGCTCAAAGGTTGGGCCCGGGGCAGCGGCAGATAAGGAGATTCCTCGGTGGTACGGCTCTGTAGATGGGCACAAGGTGGAGAAACTCTGTCTTTCGTGGGTTGACACACAGCGTCTCTTTTCTTCCGACTTCGCTAACTGAGTGTCGACTCTTCGAGTGTGTCCGAACCTTGACGATCGAGAATTATCAATCTTCGTTCTCCCCTTTTTTCTATCACGATTGGTTCCACGTTTGTCTCTAATCGAAAGACGAGCCCTGTTCGGGTCCCGACAAGGTTTGTTTCGAGGAATTTCCCTACACCATTCGCTAACTCTGGACAGAAGGTGTTGATTGGACTTTGAACTTGCCCATTGTTGTCTAATTTATGGCGTCTTAAAATTTTAACGACCTAATGCGATATCCTTTTATAATTAACTTTTCTCTTTTTTCAAAACTTTCTATTTTCTAATTACAGTAGAGCATCGATTATCCGAATCGACCGAGAGTCTAGAATTGCTAAAACTCGAATTTTCGGATAACCGATTATTTACGGGAAAAAATATTAACCTTTTCCATGTTAAAATTGGTTCAAATCCTGGCGCATCCTTAAGTACTTTCTCACGGTCGCGCTAGTGCTGCCAGCTAAAACACGTGCACCAACAAAAATAATATTGGAGTGGTCTGAGATACAGTCGACCCCCCTATAATTACGGTCGCTATAATTACGATTCCTATAAAACTACGAAAAAATTGTGACCGGTAACCGTAAAAAACAGTAAAAACCCCCTATAATTACCTCAAACGTCATCGTGCAGCCGAACTACTTTCCCGCTGTCCGTAGCGCCACGCTACGGAGAGATTTCTATCGTCTGGACAGTATTATATAAATTATATATAAATTAGGTACTGTATATATAATTATATATTAACTTATTGTAACTTTGTTATAATTAAATATATAATTTCCGCCGTCTAGTCTGGCGCCACGCTACGGAGATTTTTACGCTAACTATCGTCTGTAGAGTATGTAAATTAGGTACCGTAAGTCTAATACAGTACTGTAATTTTATACATTTTTTGTGAAAGAAACATTTCTTATTCAACGGCGATTAAAATTATTTATATTAATGATGTCTTCGAAGTTCAAGGAACTATTCGCAGAAAAATAAGTTATTAGAAATCGGCCGCGGTTTGCTGAGCTGTTCCGCGATGAAAACAATGTTGACCAATGGCAATGTCGAATGGTGACACTCGGTAAGTAATCCTACAATTTTTTATTTATAGCGTAGTTTATACGGATTATTTCCAAAAAAAATATACGTATTTTGAAAATGTTGAGTCGGATTAGTCTAGAATCGATTAATTTTATGGAAGAAACCTTTCAATCAGCCGTAGTCCGTAAAGTTGACACGTGTCGGGCTGTGATTGGAAGGACTCGTAAGAAATCGGATTCCTAAAGAATGGAACGTATCTATATCTTATAGGGGGGTCGACTGTATAGCCAAAGATTGCAGCGCCACAGCACTAGCGAAAATTTAAATTTGCCGACTGGAAAACTGGCGGCTAATTACAGAACGATTCGGTAGCCGTAGTTCTGTTTTTTACCACGAGATGTCGCTACTTCTTGACGCCAAGAAGCTTGACAAGCATAATTCTAATTTACGGTCTGTTGTGACATCATCGAATCACGTGACAAAACTCAATCGGTTTAAGTTTACCACAGTCAAAATTAACTTATTACAGTACAAACGAAGTTAGCTGTTGTTCTTTTCTCGAATGGCAAATTCGTCTTTTGTATAATATTCAATGTTTAAAAGAATACCATTGTTCATTACTTGTATCAAAATATTTAAAATTATACAGTATATTATAAAAGTTATTCTACAGAATATGTAACTTTCGTTCTTAAATTTTTTTACTCTCAAGATTTTTCTGCTGAATTTTCAATCTCTTACTCGAAATTCTTTTTTGTATTATTTAATAAAATTATTTATTGCTTTTTAGAAATAATTTGAACGTTTTATATTAAAAAAATTGCTATATTTTATTTTACAATTAACGTTTATCTTTGAAATGTTCCATAAAACCAAACTTAAATTTTTTAAAGGCATTTTTATTTGGTTTTCATCAGTTCTTTAAAAAAACCTAACCCTGGAGAGTATCAAGAGTTAACTGTATATCGTGTAATTTGAGTAAAGTCTTTTGAATTCGTTGTTTAAATTTATCAACAAATTGTCATCATCAGTAAAATATTAATGAACTTTTTGTAGCCTCATTTAAAAGATCTGCAATGATTTATTTAAATGTTAGCTGAGAAAAAAAGCTATTCATAAGAAAGATGTTTTCTTTATGAAAAAGATTTATTTAAAATTATACATTTCCAACATTATTACAGTCGACCCCCCTATAAGACGGTAGATACGTTCCGTTTTTTATAAAATTGATGTTTTAGGAGACCTTGCCAATCACAGCCCGACACGTGTGAATTTTACGGACTACGGCTGTTTAAAAGGTTTTCTTCCATAAAATTAATCGATTCCTAGACTAATTCGACTCAACATTTCCAAAATACGTATATTTTTTGGGAATAATCCGTATAAACTATGCTATAAACGAAAAATTGTAGGATTACTTACCGAGTGTGCACCGTTCGACGTCGCCATTGCTTAAGCTTGTTTTCGTCCCGGAACAGCTCAGCAAACCGCGGCCAATTTCTAATATCTTATTTTTCTGCGAATAGTTCCTTGAACTTTGGAGACATCATTAATATAAATAATTTTAATCGCCGNCGTGTGAAGTTTACGGACTACGCTGATTGAAAGGTTTTCTTCCATAAAATTAATCGATTCTAGCCTAATCCGACTCAACATTTCCAAAATACGTATATTATTTTTGGAAATAATCCGTATAAACTACGCTATAAACAAAAATTGTAGGATTACTTACCGAGTGTGCACTATTAGACATCCCCATTGCTAAAGCTTGTTTTCGTCGCGGAACAGCTCAGCAAACAGCGGTCGATTTCTAATAACTTATTTTTCTGCGAAAACTTCGTTGAACTTTGA